GATCAATTTCCCTTTCATTACACCAGCTACAGAATTTTTTGAATTAGCCAGAGTAATCTTTTTGAGTTCCTGCTCTCCATGAGGCAGATAATAATTGTCTAGTATCTTTAGAAAAGCCTCTCTTTTTAAAGACTGTTGATAAAGGCCATACAGTTAGATTGAATATTTCTGAATTGGGATGATAAATCCTTGATTCTGGCTGGTGTAAAAGATTGCTTTGAATTGGAATTTTTAAAGGGTAATCTACTAATAATTTTAACAGGTCTGGGTACCATGGTCTTTTTGGCCAATGTGGCGCTATTAGAATTTGACACCTGTACTGGGACATGTGTTGTAAAATTTTTGGAATAAGGCATATTGGAGGATATGCATATCCGAACAGATTCTGCCGTGGAATTGCGTCTAGAACATAAGCTTGATTGTGAGGAAACCACGTGCAAAAACTTTGAGTTTGTTTGTAGTGGATTGATGCAAACATACCTATTGTTGGTGATCCTAGCTTTAGGAATATTTTTTCACTATAGATTTTTCTAGTGTCTATTCTGTGTGTTTTATTTTGTTTCTCGACAATAAATCCGCTAGAATGTTTGCTTTGCCCGCAATGTGGGCTGCTTTCAATTGAATCTGATGATTGATTGCCAAATTCCATAGTTCCCAAGTTTTAAGACAAAGAATTATTGACTTGGTCCCCCCTTAAAGATTGATGTATTGTACCACTGTTGAGTTGTCGCAACGTATTAGTACATTCTTCCCTTTCAGTTGGGATAAGAAGTGTTTTATTGTTCTTATCACTGCTACCATTTCTAAGCAGTTGATATGAAGTTTTTTCTCTGAAATGTTCCAGGTTCCTTGTGCTATCTGAGTCCACATGTGACCTCCCCAACCCACTGATGTCGAAGTATCCGTTGTCATGGTTGCATGGGTTTCCCAATGTTTCAAAGATCTGCCCTTTGTTATGTTGGTTAGATTTAACTACCATTTTAGATGGCTTTTTAGATGTGCAGTAATTAGAACTTTGAATTCCAGATTCTGAGAAACTGGTTTGCAAAATTTTAACAGATGTATTTGAACAGGTCTCATGTGTAATCTGGCATTGGGAATTATCTCTTAGCAGAATGACATTATCCCTAAAAGTTGAAGAAAATCCCTGGCTATTAATTGATCTTGAAGGATCATTGTCTGGGCTGAAGTTATTAATTTGGATGTTCTCTCCACTGTTTGCAAAACGATCCCCAGATCCAAATGAAACATTGCCCCTAAGTATGTTGTTTGTTACAATGGATCCAAAGTGGACTTTTTTAAGTTTATTATGAATCCTAGTTTGACAAGGAGATTGAGTACTAACTTTGATCTAATATTATTTGACTTTTTTCCTGATTCAGAAGAAACCAGACGTCTAGATAGACTATCAGTCTTATGCTCCTTGACCTTAAATGGGAAGCTACTACTGCAACAACTTTTGTAAAAATTCTTTGCGCCGAGGTTGAAATGAAAGGTAGTGCATTGAACTGAAGAGCTCTTACGTTTTTTAGACAAAACCTCAGATATTTCTTGTGTGTTTTGTAAATTGGACATGTAAATACGCGTCCTTTAAGTCTAGACTGATTCCCCAATCTCCTTGTTTTACCAGATTGAGAACCGTAGAAAGTGAATCCATTTTGAAATGTTGTTTTCGGAGATACTTGTTGAGGGGTTTTAAATTTATCACTGGTCTCATGTCCCCTGTTTTCTTGGGGACAAGAAAAAATGTGATGTAAAAACTATTTTCTATTTCGTTCAGAGGTACATATTCTACAGCTTTTTTTTGTACTAGCTCTTTTATTTCTGTATCTAAAATGTCTAGATTTTTTGCAGATACTCAGGTGTATTTTATTCCTGTGTTCTTTGTGATCTCTAAGAATTCCAGTTTGTAACCCTCTTTGATTACAGAAAGTACCCATTGATCGCCTGTTATTTGTTCCCATTTTTTCAGAAAAAAAATTAGACGTCCCCCAACAGGTATCTCCGGATGACAAGCCATGATATTGCTTACCTTTAAATAGTCATTTTCTTTGTTGGTTTTGTCCCTGTTTGCCCCCATGAGGGACAAAATAAGTTCCTGTTTTCTCAAACTTATTGTCACTCTTGTCAGGTCTTGTAACAGTACTTGGAGTTGATTTAAAACTGTTCTGATCAACATTTGGTTTCACACGTTTTGCTAGCCAATCATTAGAAGTAATATTTTTCCTTTTCCCCAGAAAAGACCCAGGTTTATTTCCAATATGTAACTCAGGAAGCAATTCCTTAAGTTGTTTATCTTTTTCTATCCTATTTTTCAATGTTTGTTCAAACTTTTCACCTAACACTCCACTGCTTGAAAGTGGAAAAGAAATTAACGTATTTTTGAGTTCTTTAATATCATTTAACCCAGTATCTTCCATTACTAGTTTTCTTCTAATAAGGTGATGAAAAGCACCTGCTCTTGCAACCTGATCAACACTTTTCGTTGACATAGCAAATATATCACGAACTTGTTGTACTGCTCCATCCATATTCACTTCTTTGTCTAATAGAGTTTCAAAGAGCGTACCTAAAGCCTGCTGAATATAAGACGATGAAACAATACCCATTTTTGCAGCAGATTGTCCTTGATATGCCAATTTCTCTACTGATTTCAAATAAGGTGAATATAGAGTCTTTTTCTTACTAGATACTGAAAAGGCTTTTGAATCATGTTTTTTAACCAACAAGTCTGATGTAAAACTATCAAGACTAGGTATATCTAAGTGTTTCTCAGAACTTTCATGAATTGGAAAAAAACACTTGTATTGTTCATTATATGCAGTTATCTTTTCTGGGTTTTCACAATGCCATGATTCAGAAAGAATCTCAATTTGACCCTTGTCTAAAACAAGGCCAACTGACGTAGAAACTGATTTAGTTTTGGCGTCGTCGCCAAATAACTGTTTGAGATTGTCAATACCAGAGTCTTTTTCCTCGGTTTCTTGACACTTTAAATATTTACTGAATCTAGCTACCGTATTATGGTTTTCAGTGTCACTTCTCATTGCAGTCCCATCTTCTTCATCTGAGAATAACCCAATATTAAGTCTCTCTGAACGACCCGGGGCCAAAGACATAACATCTTCATGTAAATTTTCCTCTGCATCATTATCTGTAGGAAAATTTATATCAGGAGTTTGTGTTTCTTGTAAAGGTCTGCGCACTCCCGAAGAGCCGCTATCCTGTTGATTACATGTAGACACATTTTGAACCTGCTCACCCGAAGTGCCAGGGTTTTGTCTAGTTTCTATAAAATTACATATTTTATCTAACCTTGAATCAAATTGGGCAAACCTGCTTTCCCATTTCTGTTCTAAAGCGTCTAGCTGGTCGTCTTTTTTTCTTAGTAGACAGCATTTGCTCTTCTTAGACGAAGAAGAAGAACAAATACGTGCAGCCATCTTTGTCGTTTCGTTCGCGTCAGTTGACAAACTGGGACGCTCCTGCAAACGTCGTCTTCGCTATTCGAACCGTTCATAGCGGCTTCTGCCATCATGCAAAAAATTTATGACTACTATATCATAAACTAAACAAATTCAATGTATTTTCTCAGAGCGAAAACACGACCGGCTGGATTTTCGCCGGAAAGAAGACTGAGGTTCCAAGCGCTTAACTGGTATAGATGTAATTGATTATAAAAGATCAGATAAGCGCTTGAGCGAGATATGACCAAATACCGGAAAGAATATCCAATTATGTTAACCTATCAGGTAAGTGTAACGTAGTGAATATAAAATGTGTAAACCATTCGTCATGTAAATTTGCTAACAATAAGACTTGACCAAAGAACATTTTGAAATTAAAACAATTTTTTAAGGACAACTAATGGACAAGACTGTTACCGGTAGAAACAACAGACTTTGAAAAATTAAAACGTACAACATTAAAAACAAAGGCAAGAGCAATACGAACCTCTTGTCAACAAGACTACGGTTGATCGTAGGTGGTGCGTAAGGGTAATCAGAACCTGATCAAAAAGGTGACACCCGACATGATGAGTACAAATCCAGTGGTGTCACAATTGGGATTTTGGTAACGACAATAGGAATATATATCCGTGATCACCTGTGACAAAGATATTCAATAACAGTCACTCAACTCGCAATGGCGTCCGTAAATCTTTCGAAGGGGTTACATGGAACCCTAGGTTCGATAGCTTCCTCGTAAGCATTAACCATGAAAGATATGATAAGAAACGCAAGCTCTGGAATATCGTATCAACTGGAAGATATATACTCCATATGCAAGCGCTGCTGTAATATTTCAACGTAGAAATGGAAAGTTCACAATTGGGAAGTTGAAATTATCCCTTTTGTCGTAAAATTTTGTTCTCAACCAAACTTAATTGTCAAGTCAAGACTCAACTGTTCATGCGGTATCCTTTATTTTAAGTTCGATGAGAAACATGTGTTCATTTTTTTCTAAAATATTTCAAATTATGATATTAAACTTACCTGTATTCGTTATTTTATTTAACGCCATTTTCACCAAGGTTATAGTTGTCTTTTTGACATTGTTTAACATCTCCCCCTTTTTTATTTAAAATTGTATTTATATTGTGTCATAGATCAAATTTATTCGTTCAGTATATGTTTACTTGTATTCGTTAATATATCTTTTGATTGAGTTAAGCCATTTCAATTGTTGTTTTATAGTGTGTCTTTCTATGTTGTAATGTTGCATTACTATTTCAGGTTAGGGTGAATGTTGGCGCCTTTTAAAACGTTTAAACCCGCTGCAATTGTTTGCAGATGTCCTAAGTCAAGAACCTGTTGGTCAGTGGTTGTCGTTTGTTGTTGTGGTTCATACGTGTTTCTCATTTTTCTATTTAGATTAGACCGTTGGTTATCCTGATTGAATTGTTTTACACTAGTCATTTTTGGGCCCTTTATAGCGTGCTGTTCGGTGTGAGCCAAGACTCCGTGTTGAAGGTCGTACTTTTACCTTTAATTGTTAACTTTTTACACATTGTGACTTGGATGGAGAGTTGTCTCATTGGCACTCATACCACACCTTCTTATTTCTATCAACAATAAAAAAAAGTGCAAAAATATAAATGAAACTACTCAACAGCTGGAAGATCAATTAGCACAATGCAGAGCAAGACTAGTCATAATGGAAGATACCAATAGAGACTATAGAAATACAATCAATCTACTTAGGATGCAAACAGAAGAAAGCACCATTGACAAAGGTAATTTAAAATCCTATCAACCAAATTGTAACTGTAGCAACAACTCGCAGGAGCAGACTATAAACAAAGTAGATATGATGCTGAACAACTTCAGGCTAGAACTGGAAAATAGAGACCTAAGAATTAAACATCAAATGGAAATGAATGAATTAAGAAATAATCTGCAAATAATGGAACTACAGAAAGAACTAAGAATGTGGCAAAGACCAGGAAGTCATGAATATTATCCTTATAACCAGAATATGGATAATACTAGGAACACAAACCAACACCAAATGAGTGATCAGCATACTGGCGTACAGCTAACAAATCAGCAATCCAGGATTCCTAATCAAGCCAATCCACTATTCATGAATCATTTGGCACCTCCACACTATAGCCAGATACCAACAGAGCAGAGCAGAATAAATCATGGCCATATACAAGCGCCAATGTACCACAATAGCAGAATACAGGCTATACCTGCAAATGGCCAAAGCAGCCACTATTACACTGGCTATAGAGGTATACCAACTGGCAGTATCAACACTAACATGATACAAAATGCACATTTATACAGACAGCAATATAGGATAGCTCCACAACCTTTACCACAAAAGAAGATGGGAATAGAAAGAAACCAAATCATTTTTTAGGCAGCGGCCGATCAAACAAGATAAAAGGGAGGATATCATTATAGGTACACTCAATGTACAAAATGTGAAGTCAAACGCTCTCTATATCAAAAACTTGTTAAGGGATGTACAGGTGTTATGCATTCAAGAACACTGGCTCTTCAATGCGGAAAAGAAAATCATAGCTGAAGTTGCTGAAAATAGCGGATACATAGCTAAAAGCGTTGATGATAATGACGACCCTGATTTCAACGTATCATTGAAAAGAGGATATGGTGGAGTAGCCATAATCTGGAAAAAAAGAAATTAATGAAAATATAAAGGAACTGATAGACGGTGGAAATAGAATACAAGCCATACATATTCAACAAGGAGACAAACCAATATGTCTTATAAATGTATATATGCCATCAGATAACAAAAATGCAGATATCGAATACAGAGACACTTTGGCTCAAATTGATGAAATGATAGAGAAATATAAAGATACACACGAAATTATAGTATGTGGAGACATGAACGGGTCACTCCATAGAAGCTCTACACCTCATGATAAAATTCTACAAACTTTCTGCAAGGAAAAATGTATCGGAAATACTGAGAAATGCCCATTAAAAGAAACATTTTATCACCAGAATGGTAAATCGAAAGGACAAATTGATTACTTCCTCTACAAAAGTAACTCGGAAATAATAAATAAAATCAGACAAATAGATGTCCTTGATACTGACCTAGAGAATACCTCGGACCATGTACCTGTTATTCTGACACTGAATAGCCAACTGAAAAAAGTAAGGGAAAAAGCAACAACTATCATAGCAAAACCTAAATGGACTGACTGTGACCATCAAATTTATAAGGAAATCATCAATAAAGACCTACCAAACCTCATGCAAAAATCAAAAGGAATCATTGAGCAGGATATAAGAAATCTAGAAAAATTGCTACATAGAGCCGGAGAAGCGGCAATCCCAAAGTATAGAAGAAAAATCAAAATCAAATCAAAGGGAAAGGCGATCTGGAATGAACAAATAGAAAAGGCATCAAAGCAATCAAAATATGCATATAAAGTATGGAGGCAACATGGAGCACCACAAGAAAGAAGTAACGAGCTCAAAATCAAAATGACAGCTGCAAAAAGAATACTTCGAAAAGCACAAAGACAAGCTTATGCCTCTCAGAGAGAATCAACAGCGGGAAAAATTATGAAAGCTTCAAATGCAGACACAAAACTTTTTTACAAGCTTATTAACATGCAAAGAAAAACACCACTTACTAACACCAAGATACTGAAACTTAATGAAAAGACTGCAGAAGATGGACCAAGCATAATGAACATTTGGCAAGAACATTTCCAACAACTAGCTACGTCAACATTAGAAGAAAATTTTGACACTGAAAAGCTAGAGCTTGTAGAAATACAAAACAATATAATAGAATCCATAGAAAGGGAAAAAGGTCAAGGCATTGATCATGTCAATGTAAAGGAGGTTAATAAAGCTACAGAAAATCTTAAAGCAGGAAAAGCACCGGATGAGGATGGAATTTCGGCAGAACACTACAAATATGGGATGGATGAGTTAACTCCCTTTATAGTACATTTGCTAAATTTAATTTTAACATATCTGGATGTACCAATCTTCCTAAAGACAGGGATTCTTACACCAATCCTAAAGAAAGAAAAAGACAAAACATTACCATCTAGCTATAGAGGAATAACTGTGACTAAAACCTTTGCAAAAATATTACAAAGTATACTGAAGGATAGAGTTGACTCTGTATTTAATAACATACAAAACTCCTTGCAAAGAGGCTTTACAGAAGGAGTGTCATCACTATGTGCAGCTTTCCTCACATCAGAAGCAATCGAAGAAAGTAAGAAATTCAAGATACTGATGATTTTAATAACTCTTGATGCAGAAAAAGCATTTGACAAACTAAACCATGAAATACTATTCAACAAGTTGTACCATTATGGAATAAAAGGAAGACTCTGGATACTACTGAGAAACTTGTATAAAGGCATGATCATTAAGGTTAAATGGGAAGGTCAATGTACAGAAGATGTAATGGTGTTACAAGGAATTCAACAAGGTGCAAAACTATCTACAACGCTATATAAATGCTACAACAACGTCATACTGGATAGCATTTTAAAAAGTGGACTTGGAGCATGTATTGGTGATATACAAGTCCCTGCACCCACATGTGCCGATGACATTGCTGTCCTGGCAAATAGTACTGCAGACGCACAAGGAATATTAGACATAGTACAGCACCATACAAGCAGAGATCTAGTTAAAATCAATCCAACTAAATCTGAAGCTGTTTTATATAATGCAAAAGGCTCAAACATAACAACACTGCAATTCGAAGACGATGACATCAATATAACCAATGAAACCAAGCATCTAGGTATCAAAAGAAACGAGCAAAACCGGGCAAATATCTCTGAAAGAATAAGAACCGGCAGGGCAACAATATACAGCCGGTATACGGAGCTGGTTTACATGTCAGAAGGGGATTCTCACCCATGGTCGCATACAAGCTATGGAGAACATATGCAGTACCAAGAAGCATCTACGGACTTGAGGTGATGAACTTACTTGCAAAAGAAAAGGATATGCTAGAACTGGCAGAGATAAAAATCCTTCAAGGGCTTCCAAATAATACAGCAAATACGGCTGTCTATACCCTGGTAGGAGCAGAACCTATTGCCATCACATTAGACAAAAATCTACTTACCTTCTTCATGAATATTGTTCGAAATTCAGGAACCATAGAATGTGAAATTCTGCGTCGACAAATAGCATTCTCAGACCAAAGAGGAAAAGACTTTATCAACAGAGTGGAAAAACTCTATCAAAATACAATTTGAAATCTAGTAGTTACTACATAGAAAAACCACTTAAGAAAATCGAATGGAAAAGACTAGTAGGAATAAAGATCAAGGAATACTGAAAAAATGAATGTCATTATGAAAAAATGGAAAAAACATCACTTAAATACATAGAGATACAGAACAATCCATTAAATGAAGCACACAATATATGGAAAAGCGTAAAAAACAATAGTAAAGATGTAAAGGCAGGAGAAATAAAAGCAAAAATAAGTACTCAAACGTACATATTACAAGCCAAAAGAGCTAAGTTCGATCCGAAAGTTAACCCGATATGTACAATCTGTGAACAGGAAAATGAAGATCTAGAACATTTTATTCTACGCTGCAAAGAATTGGAGCAAATAAGATCTAAATATTGCTCAAAAATCGAACAGACAATGGATGACATTGATACCTCAACATACAAGAAGATCATACAAGAAGGGAATTTACTGCAGCTCATTATGGACTGTACTAGCAAGGACATAAACTGTTACTCAACTGTGTATAAAAACATTGAAACTCTGGCTAGAAATATGTGCTACGAGATGCACATGCTGCGCACAAAAAGGATAAAAAAAACTTGAACACAAGTACAGTATAAGTATAAGTAAACTTTTTTAAAATAAAATAGTTCCCTCCTTTACCGTCTGACTATTTTATGACTTATTAGACCCTAAATTAAATAAAAATTTTTGCAAAGATTTAAGATATCCAGTTACCTTTAAAGAATAATGATAAGATCCGAAAAAGGGAAATTTAAACTGTGAAGGAAAACTTATGTATATATGATGAATTGTTCTAAACCCCATCCCTTTTACATAAGCCTTATAAAATAACCTTCTCATTATAAATTCTGATGTACGTATAGCACCTTTAACTAACAATTATAAGAAAGTTTAATTTAAGACCACTTAAGTTCTAAATTCTTATTTGTAAATATATCCAGTTCTTACTTAACTTATTCTTACACCTCAGCACATTATGAATATTATTTTTAAAATTTTATGATTATTTAGTAATTATTATTGCCTAAATTCAGTCATCTGTACATAATTAAATGTTTCTTTATGTTCTAAGGTGTATATAGTTGCTACAATTATACCTTATGGGTAGTGCTCCACAATTAATGGAGGAATATACAAGAAACTGAACTGCTATCCTATATTTTATTGCTTTGTTGGTTTAATAATTAAAACGACGTTTTCCGATAGCTTGATTTGAAGAAAAATACTTTCTCACTCTATAATATCCATAATTTTTTTTTTATTATTTTTATTAAATTCTGCAACTGCTGCGACACCTGCTGAATCTAAGGATATT